CCAAGATTTATGAAGAAAGATTATTTGCCAAATTTTATAAGAAAAACACTTTTTGGACTTTTTCATTTATATAGCAAAAAAAAATTAAAAATCCCAGTGGTGAATAAATACTACCAAAATAAAGTTTTATCTGTCTCAAAAAAAATTCAAAAAATTTCATATGGGTACAGTGTTGCATGACCGCGCAATTGTCATTCAAAGTGTGACAGCACTGAGAGCTGAAAATTGCCCTGGACAGGAAGGGGGTAAAAGTGTCCGGACTTGAAGTGGCTAATGTCTAAACCACTGGCAACAAGAGTGAGTACACCCCTAAATGCAAATGTCCAAACTGGGCCCAAAGTGTCAATCTTTTGTGTGGCCACCATTATTTTCCAGCACTGCCTTAACCCTCTTGGGCATGGAGTTCACCAGAGCTTCACAGGTTGCCACTGGAGTCCTCTTCCACTCCTCCATGATGACATCACGGAGCTGGTGGATGTTAGAGACCTTGCGCTCCTCCAACTTCCATTTGAGGATGCCCCACAGATCCTCAATAGGGTTTAGGTCTGGAGACATGCTTGGCCAGTATATCACCTTTATCCTCAGCTTCTTTAGCAAGGCAATGGTCATCTTGGAGGTGTGTTTGGAGTCATTATTATGTTGGAATACAGCCCTGCGGCCCAGTCTCCAAAGGGAGGGGATCATGCTCTGCACTCCGTACTCCTCACCTGGTTGCCAGCACACACGCTTGACACCATCTGAACCAAATACATTTATCTTGGTGTCATCAGACCACAAGACATGGTTCCAGTAATCCATGTCCTTAGTCTGCTTGTCTTCAGCAAACTGTTTGCGGGCTTTCTTGTGCATCATGTTTAGAAGAGGCTTCCTTCTGGGACGACAGCCATGCAGACCAATTTGATGCAGTGTGCGGCGTATGGTCTGAGCACTGACAGGCTGACCCCCCACCCCTTCAACCTCTGCAGCAATGCTGGCAGCACTCATATGTATATTTCCCAAAGACAACCTCGGGATATAGCGCTGAGCACATGCACTCAACTTCCTTGGTCGACCATGGTGAGGCCTGTTCTGAGTGGAACCTGTCCTGTTAAACCACTGTATGGTCTTGGCCATCGTGCTGCAGCTCAGTTTCAGGGTCTTGGCAATCTTCTTATAGCCTAGGGCACAGCTCTCAAACTGGCGGGCCCTCCAGCTGTTGCCAAACTGCAAGTCCCATGAGGCATTGCAAGATTGACAATTACAAGCATGACTCCCAAAGGCAGAGGCATGATGGGACTTGTAGCTTCGCAACAGCTGGAGGTCCGCCAGTGTGACATCCCTGGCCTAAGGCATCTTTATGTAGAGCAACAATTCTTTTTTTCAGATCCTCAGAGTTTTTTGCCATGAGGTGCCATGTTGAACTTTCAGTAACCAGTATGAGAGTGAGAGCGAAAACACCAAATTTAACACACCTGCTCCCCATTCACACCTGAGACCTTGTAACACTAACGAGTCACATGACACTGGGGAGGGAAAATGGCTAATTGGGCCCAGTTTGGACATTGTCACTTAGGGGTGTACTCACTTTTGTTGCCAGCAGTTTAGACATTAATGGCTGTGTTGAGTTATTTTGAGAGGACAGCAAATTTACACTGTTATACAAGCTGTACACTCACTACTTTACATTGTAGCAAAGTGTCATTTCTTCAGTGTTGTCACATGAAAAGATAGAATCAAATATTTACAAAAATGTGAGGGGTGTACTCACTTCTGTGATACTGTATATGTAAATTACTGCGTAAATTGATGTATGTAAAAGAAAATCCCAAATTTTGGGTTGTCCCCAGGAAAGTAATTTAGAGGGGACATTTTCCAATGGGGACATTAGTTCTGGTGACCTAGGGGTCCCCAAAGAATCCCCTTAATTTGCAGGTATTTCCTCTCCCTTCCTGTTTGGCTATGGTACAGGAAGTGAAGGGAAAACTCTCCAATGGAACACACATGGTGGAAAAAAATTTGGCAGGGGTTATAACCCTCCCTTACTCTACCCAAAATGAAAAAAAAAGTTTTACCTATAGTTCTACTTTAACCGGTTCCCTGCCGCCTTATAGCAGAAATACTGTTACGGGGCGGCAGGGCTGCGCAAAATCACATATATATACATGATTTTACATTTCCGGGTAGTTCCATACGCTGCCCTACCCGCGCCGCCATTGGTGGCTACAGCTGTCGGTCACTGGGTCCCAGTTGGCGATTTCCCGCAGGCACCCGGCGATTGCTGAGGAACAAAGGCATTGATGAAACAGGAAAAATCTGTGTTGAGAGATCTGTAAACAACACAGATCTCTCAACACAGATTTTTCCTGTTTCATCACGGCCTTTGCGGACTTTCTTTATTTGAAATCTTATGATGTACGTTTTTTTTTCACTAATTGTTTGAAATTTTTCACTGTTTGTGACTTTGTTAAGCGCTGCACTTTATATGTACGTTATTTTTGATTGCCTGGCATTGAAGTGTAGTGTTCAGCTGCTATTTATTTGCACTTTAGGGTCCTCTCACACAGTCACGTTTTTTCAAAGAAAAAACGGGCAAGTTTACATCCATTTTTTCATCTGTTTTTTTTATCCATTTACATATGTTTTTCATCCGTTTAGATCCGTTTTTCATCTGTTTTTGGTCTTTTACATCCATTGACATCTGTTTTTCGTCCAATACAGGTTTTTTTGCGGAAGAAAAATAGGGTTTTCTTCTGTTCAAAAAACGAATGTTAACGGATGCAGACATTAACGGATGTAAAACGATGTTCATCCGTTTACAGCCGCAAGTCCATAGAAATACATGGGGTCTGTTTTTCATCCGTAAACGGACAGATAAAAAACGGACATACGGAACACGCATGTGAAAGGGGCCTTATACTCTTAGCGCAGATTTATATTTTAAATTCCTACACATCTCTCCCGTCAGCACTGACATAGCAGAGCAATACAAAGCAGTATGTTTCCCTAGTAAAACGCACACAGCAGTTAACCCTTTGATCACCCCAGATGTAAACCCCTTCCTGCCCCGTGTCATTAGTACAGTGACAGTGCTTTTTATTAGCACTGATCACTGTATTCGTGCCACTGGGGATGTCAGAATTAGTGCCCCCCAGTGTCAGAATGCCTGCCGCAGTCCTGCTATAAGTCACTGATCGCTGCCGTTACCAATATAAAAAAAAAATTAAAATTCCAGTATATATACCGCCATTTGTAGACACGATAACTTTCACATAAACCAATTAATTTACACGTATTGAGATTTTTATTAGTAAAAACATGTAGCAGAATACATTTTGGCCTAATTTTATGATGAAATTTGATTTTGTACATTTTTTACTGGATGTTTTATAGAAAAAAGTTCAAAATATTTTTTTTTCAAAACTGTCGGTCTTTTTTGTTTATAATGCAAAAAAAAATGAAAACGCACAGGTGATCAAATACCAGAGAAAAACTCTCTTTTTGGGAAAAAGGACGTAAATTTAATTTGGGTTCAGCGTTGCATGACTGCGCAATTGTCAGTTAAAGTAACATAGCACCATATCGCAAAAAATGGCCTGGTCCGGAAGGGGGGTAAATCTTCAGGAGGGCAAGTGGTTAAAGGATAATTAAACTTTTTGTTTAATTTAGGATAGAGTGGACAAGGATTAGAACCTCCATCAGGTTTGTATTGCGGTCTGTGCCCCAATTAGGGAGATTCACCCTCTATTTGTCCTGTTTACCTCAGAAAAGTAAAGGAGGGGAAATCTTCCAATGGGGACACTAGTTCTGGTGGGTCCTCAAGGAATCCCCTTATTTTGCAGGTATTTCCTCTCACTTCCTGTTTGGATATGGGACAGGAAGTGAAGGCAAATCTTCCCAATGGGACACAGATGGCAAAAAAAAAAAATTGGCAGGGGTTATAATCCTCTCTTGTGCTATCCAAAATGAAGAAAAAGGTTTTGCTTATAGTTGTACTTGAAGGGCTTGTTCACACCAGGTGTGGTGCAGGCGTGTGAGCTGAAACGCGTCACATTCTGCAGATGCACACGGGTGCCACTGTTTCCTTTTGCCATCCCCCCACATCTGGAAAATGTGCGTTTGCAGCCATCAACACGCATGGTGCCGCCAACACGCATGGGTACCAACACGCATGGTGCCGCCAACACATGGTGCCAACAAACATGATGCCGCCAACATGGTGCCACCAACATGGTGCCAACAAACATGAGGCCGCCAACATGGTGCCACCAACAAACATGGTGTTGCCAACACACATGGTGCCATCAAACACGCATGGTGCCACAATACTGTGTGGTTTGTGATGCGATGTAAAAAATAAACATCGAAATGAAGGAGCCGCCCGAAACGCATGACATGGAAACACACTCTCGTCATGGCCTGATGAGCCCTGAAGTGTACCTAAGGACAACGGCCAGGAGAAGGATTAGGACACGTGGCAGGTGACTGATGTTTCCATCCCTATTAGGGAGATTCCCCCTATTGTTTTTTTTTGCAATCACTGTAAGTGAAAGAAAATCCCAAGTGTTGGGTTGTTCCCAGAACAGGAACAGAGGGGAAATCTTCCAATGGGGACACTAGTTCTGGTGACAGCCTGGGATTCCCTCACTGTGCAGGGATTTCCTCTGACTTCCTGTTTTGGCTGTGGGGCAAGAAGTGAAGGGAAATCTCCCGGATGGGACACAGATGGCAGCAGAATAAAGCCCACCACTCGTTCACAATGGATGTCAGTTTTTCCTTTAATTGGGCCTCCAGCCAAGGCTCAGCACACGCACTCTCCCTGCCTCATCCTGTGTCCAATAGAACGGATCCCGTCCGAACAGACCCAGCAGCGATGACTATAATAGCGGCAGCCAATGAGCTTCCAGGACTCCCAGACACATGACCATGTCAGTGCGCGGCGGGCCATGTGACCGCACTCGGCTTCCGTAGGCAGAGTGGGAGAGGAAGGAGCGTGTGCTGATCTTCCCGGGTGACGTCTCCCCATGATGGCTGCTGCAATGGCGGAGCAGGAGGGCTCCAAAGGCAGCGCCCGGAACCGGGGAGGAGTGCAGCGTGTGGAGGGGAAGCTGCGGGCCAGCGTGGAGAAGGGAGACTACTACGAGGCCCACCAGATGTACCGCACACTCTTCTTCAGGTATGGAGCGGACATCTCTAACGTTCCAGACCTTTCCAGGGCCCTTGCCTCCAGCCAAGCGCTGATTGGCCGCTGGCGTTCTGGTTGCTAGGGGGAGGCGGGGCTTATGTCAGCCTTATCATTTGACTGGCTGGCCGCCTTGTCCATCTGCGGGAAGTCCTCGGTTAACCCTTCAGCTCCCAGCAACTGGTGATTGATCCTGCTCGCTGATTGGCTTGTGTCTTCTAGTTGCTATGGTGGGCAGATCCTTCTTGGCTGCACCTGGGCCTGGGAGGATTCCTGGGCTGGTTTGGGGGCTTTTCATGAGCAGCCTGTCTGTGTGAGGAGTGAATGGTGACAGCTGCTCCCAGCAGGGCCATGGCAGGCCATATGTGTCAGTGTCAGGGGGTCACACTTGTCTCCTCTGTGGTGTATGGAGCCACCCATCCACACAGGCCTTTCCTGAGGAATCCCCCCGGGATCAGCCCTCCTACATCCAGCACCGCACACACTCCTGATCAATGGGAAATGGGTGGACTGACCCATGTACAGCCTCACTGCTGCTGCCCGACTCTGGGATCACCTGCTGTGGAATGCAGAGCTAACACTTCACATCCTGCAAGCAGGTCTGGGGCAGCCTACTGAGTCCCCATCAAAGTACACAAAAGTCAAACCAAGCTCCAGGCATAAAAATGTTTAGTAAAGCATGCTTGTTATACTCATTGTGGAACCTAAGGGGTTAATCAGCATTGTGTAAAAAGGCTGTTTGATCCTGTCTTCTCTTATCCTCTCCTTCTAGTGTCCCCCCCCTTATCTCCTGATAAAACATATCATGTAAAGTCACTCTGCACATGCTCAGTTTGGTGTGTATTGCTAGAGAGGTTTATTTTTTTTTTCTCGGGAGAGCGCATGTGACTAGCACAGGGCCAGTCAACACTGTCCAGACAGGTCAGGGGTTCTGCATCCTCCTAGAGCAAATTGAAAACTCCTGCTACAAGCTTTAAGCAGTGCTCTGCTGGACACTGATAGAAGTCACAAGACTGCTCTAACTGCTTATGAGAATAGGTATTTAGCAGTTTATATTTACTAAAATAATTGCATTTCTGTGTACTGTGGGAGTACAGATTTAGTGAATGCAGGGTCCTAGGTTTAGTAACACTTTATAAATATTTCTCAGTAGCCAGAAAGGAGAGAAATCCATTCTTTGTGAACCAAATGCTTTTGCAAACCCAGATATTTCTTTGTAAAACCAGCAGTGACATCGTTGCTGTGCATAACCTGTGTGGAGAACAGGGCTCTGGGTGGGATCCAGTATGCCCCACCCACTACAGGCTACCTACAGAAAACTGAAGGGGGCGGAGACAAGACCAGTCACCCTACACAAGGAGAGGAAGCAGCAGTGATCGGTCCTTATTAAAATGTTCCTCAATAGTCATAAAGTGGAGAGGGCTTAGGACACCTGTACGTTTATATTACGGCCTGTGTCCCTGTTAGGGAGATTCATCCATCTTTGTCCTGTTTTATTGTTGTTAAAAGTAAAAGTCCAAAATTTTGGGTTGACACCAGAACAGGAATAGAGGGGAACTCTTCCAATGGGGACACTAGTTTTAATGACACCCTAGGATTCCCTCACATTGGAGGGATTTCCTCTCACTTCCTGTTTTGGCTATGGGTCAGGAAGTGAAGGGAAATCTCTATATTAGATATAGATGGCAAAAAAAAGACCTTGACGTAATTGGAATTTTGGGGCTGCACTATCCCTTTTTTCTTTTTCTGTATTTTTGGCTTTCTGAAGATGTCTGTTTTTGTGCCTTTTTTATATATGCAAAATCTTAATAAAAGGTGATAATAAAAAAAAAAAAACACATGCACACAAAAAAACTGACCGGTTGTAACCCTCCCTTCTTAAAGTTAAAGTGGTTGTAAACCTCAGACATGAAATATGAACAAAGCATATCCCTCTATAGTGTGTACCTGTCTCAATCCAGAGCACTAAGTGTCATCTCTGTCTGCTGTGTCATTCCTCTGCTATCAGCATGAGTCCCTTCTGACAAGTTTTTTTGACCCCAAGAGAAAAATGGTGATGGACGCAACCTCCAGCAGATTGACAGCCTCAGCTCTGTTCATGTGAGCTGTGTGGAGGTGTGTCTCTTCCTTCCAATCAGCTCTCAGAGCTCATGTCACTGAGCTCTGCAGTGTGTAACTCCACCACCTTTTTTTCTTAACACTCAGACACGCTTTATAAATTCAGCACTTTAAACGGTTGAAGAGAAGGCTGCAGACAGACAGGTATAACTTATGTAGGATGATTTGTTTCATCTCTGTGTATCACCTGAGGTCAGTACTGGGTATAGGAGAGGGTTTACAACCACTTTAAAAGAAACCATTTTGTCTTTAGTTTCTACTTTACAATACATAAATCCAGTTTGTGTCTTCCACATATCTTACCTTTTGGGAACCTAGTTATTACCTGGGAAAGTTAGTGACCTCATCACAGTGCTGCAAATGGCCAGTGAAGGGAGCAGAGCAGTGGGTGGGCTTGCTGCAGGGGGGAGGGGGCAGATACCAGACCAGTCACCCTGCATAAGGACAGAGAGCAGAAGTGACTGGTCTTTATTACAGGAAGCTCCTTCACAGGGGTAAAGTTTCACATTGGATTACTGCACAGATCTCAAAGAAATACACAGATGACAATATTCAAGGAAGAATATATATGATTTGCATCTAGATAATATTTGCTTGCCTCAGAGTTCAGCTAAAATCTGGGATAAAATTAACCCCCTGTACTCCCCCTCTGAGATTGCTTGTTTGAAGGGGAAAAAAAATAACTTTCTAAACTCCCATAATCACTTACCTGAAGTTGTGGTCACATGGTCATCCAGTGCTTGAGTCCCTTTCCTGTCTTCTGAGCATTGTCACAGCTGCCTGAGTGACTTGAATGATTCCTATTGGCTGGCCCACAGAGGTGTTCTCTCAGGTTCCAGAATGCTGTTGATGTCAGACCTGGAGGCACGAAAGGGACTGGATGCCACGGGTTAATGCATGGCACTGGTGTAGTGTTTCCCGCAGACAGAAACATCAGCAAGGGACATGGATGGGGGTGAGCTTAACTGAATTCACCAGGCAAAGAAGATTGAACATCTGGCAGGATGGGTTAGGGAGGGGAAATTATAGATGTTCAGTTGGACTTTAAATACTTGCCTTAGGTTTTCTTTCCCATAAACTTTTTTTTTTTTATTATTCCCCTTGCAGTGTTCCTTTGAACTTGCTAGAAAATTTGATGATTCCTGGAAGAGCATGATTGTGGGGGACTGTTTAGTCCTCTGTTGCCCAACCTGTGGCCCGATGACCACATGCAGGCCTTTAGTACTTATTGTGTAGTCCTTGGCCCTCAGCAGGTAGTAGCGGCTGCATTCATTTGTAGTGGAGCTGTAATGACAATGATCTCTAGTAGTCTCATGGAACATTTCCCCAGTCTGTAAAGATCTCCTGCAGCACATCTCCATCCTCTACTAACATGCCACTGGAGATGCAGGTGTGGTAGTCACCAACAATCTTCTGTAGCACTACAGTGTGAAATATTGTTACTGGCCATCAGTGTTGAGAGGTAAGTATGGGGATGGTCTCCACTGGTCCTGCATTGTATGCAGTGTTGAGGGCCCCCCACATTTCAGAGCAGGAGCAGAGAAGAGGACCAGTTCCTTTGGGACCAAAGAGTAATATAAGTATTCATTTGCTTTACACCCTTCTAGACTAGACATAAGAATAAGTAATAATTGCAGCTTCCTCCAAAATAGATGACACCTTCATCTCCAGTGACTGCCTGGGTGTAGCTTTGCTCTCTGATGACAACACTGTTGCAGTAATAGAGCACATGTTCAAAGCAGCCTCTCCGAGCCCTGTATTCAGAGCACAAATAAAACCTGAGGTTACATCAATCTGTAGGTCATCCCCTCTGTCCTTATCCATGCTTATACATCAATCTGTAGGTTGTCTCCTCTGTCCTTATCCATGATTATACATCAATCTGTAGGTGGTCTCCTCTGTCCTTATCCATGCTTATACATCAATCTGTAGGTTGTCTCCTCTGTCCTTATCCATGCTTTACACCAGTCTGTAGGTGGTCCCCTCTGTCCTTATCCATGCTTATACACCAGTCTGTAGGTGGTCTCCTCTGTCCTTATCCATGCTTATACACCAGTCTGTAGGTGGTCTCCTCTGTCCTTATCCATGCTTATACACCAGTCTGTAGGTTGTCTCCTCTGTCCCTATCCATGCTTATACATCAATCTGTAGGTGGTCTCCTCTGTCCTTATCCATGCTTATACATCAATCTGTAGGTGGTCTCCTCTGTCCTTATCCATGCTTATACACCAGTCTGTAGGTGGTCTCCTCTGTCCTTATCCATGCTTTACACCAGTCTGTAGGTGGTCTCCTCTGTCCTTATTCATGCTTATACATCAATCTATAGGTTGTCTCCTCTGTCCCTATCCATGCTTATACATCAATCTATAGGTTGTCTCCTCTGTCCCTATCCATGCTTATACATCAATCTATAGGTTGTCTCCTCTGTCCCTATCCATGCTTATACATCAATCTGTAGGTGGTCTCCTCTGTCCTTATCCATGCTTTACAACAGTCTGTAGGTTGTCTCCTCTGTCCTTATCCATGCTTATACATCAATCTGTAGGTTGTCTCCTCTGTCCTTATCCATGCTTATACACCAATCTGTAGGTGGTCTCCTCTGTCCTTATCCATGCTTATACACCAGTCTGTAGGTGGTCTCCTCTGTCCTTATCCATGCTTATGCAGCACTCTGTAGGTGGTCTCCTCTGTGCTTATGCAGCACTCTGTAGGTGGTCTCCTCTGTCCTTATCCATGCTTTACACCAGTCTGTAGGTGGTCTCCTCTGTCCTTATCCATGCTTTACACCAGTCTGTAGGTTGTCTCCTCTGTCCTTATCCATGCTTATACATCAATCTGTAGGTGGTCTCCTCTGTCCTTATCCATGCTTATACATC